CGCGAGGGGGGAGGACCGGCCTGGAGGCGGGGCCGGGAGCGGCCGCCAAGTTCGGTTGCGGCGGCGGCGGCGCGGAGGGAGGCAGGGGAGGGGGCGGGGCCAGCTGAGGAGCGGCGGGAGAAGCTGCCAATCAGCGCGCGGGGCTGGAAATGGGGCGTGGTCTCATAAATATCTCATTAATATTAATAAGGTGGGAGGGGGCACGTGGCGGCCGGGGCGCGAGGCACCGGGAGGGGACACCCCGGGGATCCCCCGGTGGGTGGCGGCCCAGGGTCTCCCCGGGGCCGTGCTCCCCCTCTGTGACCCCTCTGCAGGGCTCTGCGCCCCCCAAAACCCCCCAACCCACCCCGGGGGCACAGCCCCTCCCAGCCCTGCGTGCCGGGGGTCGCGGCCTCGCCGTGCCCCCACCCACCTCGGGGAGCTGCTGCCCCGGGAACCGGGGGGAAAATCCGTGGGGATGAATCAGCGGCGGGCCGGAGTCACGCCGGCGGCGCGGGGGGAGCGGAAATCACGCCCTGAATCGAGGCTTTGATTCCCCCCGGGCTGCCACAGGCACCGGGCGAGCGCGGCCGGCGGGTCCCGGTGGTGCCTGGTCCGGGAGTCACCGTGGGGGGACACAGCCGCGTCCCCGGGACAGCCGCCATCGCTTCCCGGCGCATCCCGCTCTGCGCTGGCCCGCACCAGTTGCAGCTGCGATCCCAGCAGGAATTGAGGTGGGGAAATGCCGAGCCCGGGCTGTCCCCACCTCGGCGGGGACGTGGCTCCGCTGCCCGGCACACAGGGCACAACCCTCGCCGGCGCTGGAATCGGGCTAAAAACTCAATAATCCTGTTAGTGGGAAGAAGGCTGATTTTCCCCCTAATCCAGTTTGCTCCCGTATGTCCCGGCCCGCCGAGTCCTAATCCGCTTTTCCCGCAGATGGGCAGCCCCGGGTGCCGGGGCCGCGGTGTCCCCCCGGTAGGGGACACAAGGGACAATATTCCACACAGCGCCGATGCCAGCGAGAGACATGATGCCAGGAGCTGGTTCGGGTCCCAAAATCTGCATTTGTGAAATTGCTGGCCGCGGGATGCAGCCAGGGAGGGAGCGATGGGAGCGGCTCATCCCGCTAATTAACGCTCAGGAGCAGCTTTGATTAACGCCTGGACCCGGGGGAGGCTCCGGGCGCCCGGCGAGGATCCTTCCTCCCGGGGCTGCGCTGGTTTTTGGGGGCTCAGGATGGGGTTTGGCGCTGGTTTTTGGGGGTTCAGCATGGGGTTTGGAGAGGCTGCAGGGACCCGGCGCTTCCCAGAGGAAGCATCCTCCATCCCGGGCAGCATCCCGAGGGACACCCGGGGCTGCAGCAGGACCGGGGCGTCCCCTGCCACGGCGGGCACAGGTCCCCATTAGGTGGAGGGAAGTGGGAGGGGACAGAGATGGGGAGGGGGAGACCCGGGAACGGGGAAAGAGGAGATTTTCTGCCCCCAAGGGGTTGTGGAGGCTCTGGAAGCGCTCTGAGTTTTGGTGTGATGGTGCCACCCAGAATGCCTGAGAGTCCTGAGGGGTCCCAGCAGGTGGGGAGTGGCACCAAGTGTCCCCATGCCCATGCGTGCCTGTCCCACTGTCCTGCCCTGGCACCCACAGGGGGCCCCGGATCCCCCCAGGCCACAGAAGGGACATGGGGACAGGGGGAGTTCCCATGGGCAGTGCCAGGGAGCTGTGACATCCCTGCAGAGCTGGCACTGTCCCCACAGAGCTCAGGGCATCCCCATGGATCTGTGACCATCCCACAGAGCTGTGGCCGTCCCCACAAATCCATCACCATCCACACGGATCCACAACCATCCCTAAGATCCATCACCATCCCTAAGATCTGCCACCATCCCTATGGATCCGTGACCATCCATCCCTAAGGTCCATCACCATCCATCTGGATCCATCACCATGCCCACGGGTCCCTGCCCATCCCCATGGATTGGTGCCATCCCTGTGGATCCCTGCCCATCCCCACAAATCCCTGCCCATCCCCACGGGTCCCTGCCCATCCCCATGGATTGGTGCCATCCCTGTGGATCCATGCCCATCCCCACTGGTCTGTGCCATGCCCACAGATCCGTGCCCATCCCCAGAGGTCCGTGCACATCCCCACAGACCTATGCCCTTCCCCATGGATTGGTGCCATCCCTGTGGATCCATGCCCATCCCCACGGGTCTGTGCCATGCCCACAGACTCGTGCCCATCCCCACAGATCCATGCCCATCCCCACAGACCCATGCTCTTCCCCATGGATTGGTGCCATCCCTGTGGATCCATGCCCATCCCCACGGGTCTGTGCCATGCCCACAGATCCGTGCCCACCCCCACAGACCCATGCCCTTCTCCGTGGATTGGTGCCATCCCTGTGCATCCCTGCCCATCCCCACGGATCCCTGCCCTTCCCCATGAATTGGTGCCATCCCTGTGGATCTGTGCCCATCCCCACGGGTCTGTGCCATGCCCACAGATCCGTGCCCACCCCCACAGACCCATGCCCTTCTCCGTGGATTGGTGCCATCCCTGTGCATCCCTGCCCATCCCCACAGACCCGTGCCCATCCCCACTGGTCTGTACCATCCCCACAGACCCATGCCCTTCCCCATGGATTGGTGCCATCCCTGTGGATCCATGCCCATCCCCACAGGTCCGTGCCCATCCCCACAGACCCGTGTCCATTCCCATGGATTGGTGCCATCCCTGTGGATCTGTGCCCATCCCCACGGGTCTGTGCCATGCCCACAGGTCCGTGCACATCCCCACAGGTCCATGCCCATCCCCACAGACCCGTGCCCATTCCCATGGATTGGTGCCATCCCTGTGGATCCCTGCCCATCCATCCCCACGGATCCGCTCCATCCCCGAGCCGTGCCCTTGGCCGGTCCCCCGGTGCCCGCGGCAGCCCCGTTCCCCCCCGCTCCCCCCGCCCGCTCCCGGAGCCCACGCGGCTCCCGCGCCCGGGGAGCAGCGCTGGTTTCCATGGCAACGGGCGTGATGACGCACGCGCCGCGCTCCCGCCCCCCTCCCCCTCCCCGCGGGCACGGGCGGGGACAGCGACACGCGGGCACGTCACACGTGTCACACACGTGTCACACGCGCGTCACGCGCGGGCGCGGCACGAGCAGGGCACAGGGCACGCGCGTGTCACACACACGGAGCACGCGTCACACTTGTGTCACACACACGCAGAGGTGTGACACATGTCACATTCGTGTCACACACACGGAGCACACGTCACACGCGTGTCACACACACACAGAGGTGTGACCGCTGTCACATTCGTGTCACACACACAGAACACGTGTCGCACACAGGCACACAGCCCTGCGCGCGCACACACACGGAGCTCACGTCACACGCGTGTCACACACACACAGAGGTGTGACCGCTGTCACATTCGTGTCACACTCACACAGAGGTGTGACCGCTGTCACACTCGTGTCACACACACGGAGCACACGTCACACGCGTGTCACACACACGGAGAGGTGTGACCGCTGTCACATTCGTGTCACACACACAGAACACGTGTCGCACACAGGCACACAGCCCTGCGCGCGCACACACACGGAGCTCACGTCACACGCGTGTAACACACACGCAGAGGTGTGACCGCTGTCACACTCGTGTCACACACACACAGAGGTGTGACTGCTGTCACATTTGTGTCACACATATCTGTGCCCACTGTCACATGTGTGTCACACACACAGAGGTGTGCACATGTCACATTTGTGTCACACACATCTGTGCCCACTGTCACATGTGTGTCACACACACAGAGGTGTGCACACGTCACATTTGTGTCACACACACCTGTGCCCACTGTCACATTTGTGCCACACACACACCTGTGTACATGTCATATTTGTGTCACACACACAGAGAAGTGCATGTCACATTTTTGTTACACACAGAGGTGTGCACACTATCACACTTGTATCACGCACACACCTGTGCCCACTGTCACATTTGTGTCACACACAGAGGTGCGACCGCTGTCATATTCGTGTCACACACTCAGAGGTGTGCACACATCACATTTGTGCCACACACACACCTGTGCACATGTCATATTTGTGTCACACACACAGAGAAGTGCATGTCACATTTTTGTCACACACAGAGGTGTGCACACTGTCACACTTGTGTCACGCACACACCTGTGCCCACTGTCCCATTTGTGTCACACACACACCTGTGCCCCCTGTCACATTTGTGCCACACACACACAGGTGTGCCCCCTGTCACATTTGTGTCACACACACACAAATGTCACATGCCACGCGTGCTCACGGCCCTGCACACACATCACACGCGCCCCACACCTGCACACGCGTGTCTGTGGCCGTCCCACGGAGCCGTGGCTGTCCCCAAGGCCGCGTGCACACACACCACGTCACACCCATCACGTCACACTCACCTCGCCCCCCTTCCCGTGACCCCCCCGTGGCCTCCCGCCCCGGCCGGGGGCGGCTCCGGGGACGCGGGAGCGTTTCTCGTCTCTTTATTGAAGGAAGACTATTTCTAGAATAAAGGCTACATCGTCACCTTGTCCCCTGGGCGCTCGGATCCTCGTGTAAAAAGCCGGGGGGGTGCGGGGAGCTGGGGGGGCTCGGCCTGCCCGGGGACACCCCCTCGGGGACACCCCGGTGGCGGCGGGGGAAGGAGCGGGGCCGGAGCGAGGGGACAAACCTCGAGGGGACGAGGGGCTGGTGACAGCGCGGGGACCCCGCTCCGGCCAGGGGGGAACAAGCGGGGCTGCGCCAGAGCTGGAGGGCGTCGGGGGTCCCGGGGGTGTGGGGCCAGGCCACCCCGCGGGGGGACTCTGAGGAGGGGGTGGCACTGGAGGGGCCAGCGGGGCCCCGCGGCAGCGCCCGGCCCGCGGCATCGGTGGGGAGGGGGCAGCGGGGGGGGGCCCGGCTGGCTGTGGGGCCGGGGGTCTCCCGCCGGAGCTCGCCAGGATTGTGCTGGGGGGGGCCGTGGCACCAGGACGGAGCTGGGGGTTTTGGGGGGGTCATGGCACCAGGATGGGGCAGGGGGCCGGGGGACAGCGGTCAGGGGGACACGGGCACCGCGCAGGAGCTGCCCCCGCCCCGGGGCTCTGCCCGCAGGAGCAGAGCGCTATGGCGTGGGGACGGGGGCGCGGGGGGGCCCGGGACGCGCGTGACTGTCCCCAAAGGGTGACACGGCCATCCCCATGCGACACCGTCCTTCCCTCCCGCGAGGACCGACGGGGGCCGGGCCCGGTGGCACCGGTTGTGCTGAGTGCGGGGGGGGTGTGGTCCGGAGGGGGGGCGCGGGGCCAGTCCGGGGCTCTACATGATGCTGCACTTCCCCTTGATTTTGTCTGTCCTCTTCTGCTTGCTGGAGCGCTTCCCGTCGATGGTGAGGCTGACGTTCCTCCTCTTCTCCAGGTTCAGCAGCTCCTGGAAGAGCTCCTTGACGTTGTAGTTCATCTTGGCCGAGGTCTCCATGAAGGCGCATTTCCACTCCTTGGCCATGGCCTCCCCCTCCCTGCTCTCCACCTCGCGCTGCGTCTCGTCGCACTTGTTGCCCACCAGCATGATGGGGATGCTCTCCACGCTGCCCTTGATCTGCACGATCTGCTGGTAGATGGGCTTCAGCTCCTCCAGCGACTGCTTGCTGGTGACCGAGAAGACCAGGATGAAGGCATGGCCCTTGGAGATGGACAGGCGCTGCATGGCCGGGAACTGGTGGCTGCCGGTGGTGTCGGTGATCTGCAGGGTGCACACGCTCTTGTCGCAGCTGATCACCTGCCGGTAGGTGTCCTCGATGGTGGGGATGTAGGTGTCACGGAAGGTCCCCTTGACGAAGCGCAGCACCAGCGAGCTCTTGCCCACGCCGCCGGCTCCGAACACCACCACGCGGTAGTCGTTGCTCTGCTCCGGCATCTTGCCCCGCGCTCGCTGCGGGGGCACAGGGAGGCGTCACCCCCGACTCCGGCGCGTGGCCCCCCCGAGATGCGGCCCCGGCCAGGAGCTGGGCTCGCCGCCCTTGGGACGCCCTTGCCGGCCGGCGCGGGGTGCAGCCGCCTTGGCTATTTTTACCGGCCGCCCGCCGTGGCCATATGGCCGAGTGCGGCCACCGGCACCGCAGCTGCTGCCGAGGCTGCCGGGGGGGGGGCTCGCTGGGCAGGGGCCCCCCCCGCCCGCCCGGGCAGCGGGAGCAGCTCCGCAGGCCTGGCGAGGTCACGGTGGAAGCTGTCCCCAAAGGGTGACACGGCCATCCCCATGCGACACCGTCCTTCCCTCCCGAGAGGACCGACGGGGGCCGGGCCCGGTGGCACCGGTTGTGCTGAGTGCGGGGGGTGCGGTCCGGGTGTCCCGGCGGCGAGTCCCCGCTCCTGCCGTGCCCGGGGCTGGCCGCGTGTCCCTCACCTCGGCCCCGTCTTCACCCCCGGCCCCGGGCCGAGCGCTGGCGTCCCCGCACAGTCACAGTGATGGCACACGGAGGACGAGGGGACGGTCCCGCTGCGATGCCACTGCCACGTCCAGCCGTGGGGGGGAGGAGGGGGGTGGGGGCTCGCTGGGCAGGGACCCCCCCAGCCCGCCCGGGCAGCGGGAGCAGCTCCGCAGGCCTGGCGAGGTCACGGTGGAAGCTGGAGCGCCCAGCTGGGCTCTCTGGTGAGGTACAGAGGTGCCCTTTCACACACAGGCCGTGCTGCTGGTGTCCTGTCACCCCTGTCACTCCCTGCCACCATGCCCCACGCTGTGCCATCCCTCTGCTCTGCTCCCACCCCAGGGATGTGTTGGGGAGGGGAAGAAATGAGCGTGGCACGGCTGTGGGCTGTGGGGGGTGGGCAGTGGGTCAGAGACCCCCCGGCCACCCTCACGCTGCCAAACCTCAGTGCCCACTCACAGGGGACACCTGGACCTGGGCAATGTCCCCAGTGCCCCCCCAGTAATGCAGCACGAGGGTGTGAAAGGAGGTGGCACAAAGAGTCACCGGTGCTGAGCCCCGGGCTGGGCCCTGCTCCGGTTCCCCCGGTGCAGCGCAGGGGTGGCAGCACCAGCTCTGTCCCACGAGGGTCCCCAGGGTGTGTGGGACCCTCACAGAGCCTTGGGGACATTAAACCCAGCACGGGACAGGGTTTCCAAAGGTGCCCGGTGACAGGATGAGTGGGAAGGAGGGGAGGGAAGGGGGCCTAAGCACTGCTTAAGGACTGTCCCCAGTCAGCTCCACTCCTGCCACCCCAGTTCAGGAAGGGGACAGCAAAGTGCCCCAGACAGCCCCGTACTGGTGGCTGCCCTGGGCACAGCAGTTCCTGCATCCCTGAGCATCTCCAGGGAAAGCAGCCCCTTCCCAAGGCTGCCCCATCCCCATCCCAGGGCACTGGGGGATCCAGACCCCGCAGAGCAGCCCCAAACCCCCGGCATGTCCCCAGACACCAGAGCCAGGCGAGGCTGGCAGCTGGAGGAGCCCATCCCCGCGGGCTTGGGCAGCCAAGGAGCTCATCCCACCGTGGGCTCCTTGGATCCCACCACGCTGGGAGCGTCACCAGCGCCCGGGGGCTGGGGCTGCAGCGGGGGCCGGGGCTGAGCTGGCGCGTGGGAACGTCCAACCTTGGCCGGGGCTGGCAATGGTCCCACCCTGTCCCACCGGTCCCGTCCCACCTGTCTCACCTGCCTGTCCCACCTGTCCCATCCCACTTGTTCCGCCTGTCCATCCCACCTGTCCATGGCACAGCTAAAGTGCCCCTGAACTCACAGCCCTGCCGTGGGGTGCTGAGCTGAGGGGCTGGGCTGGACAGACCCTCACGGAACCGGGGGGGCTCTTTGGGGTGACCCCATGGCCTGCGCTCAGCAGCACTCTGATCCCAACCGTCCCTGGTGCCCGAGGGGCCGGAGCACGGTCCCCCCACTGCTCGTGGGCAGGGACCACCGGGCCTGATCCTGCCGGGGGGCTCTGCACCCCCCGGAACCCCCCGCACCCTCCCACTTGGGCCCTCAGCACTGGGGGTGACACTGGTGGGGACCTGAGGGTCAGGATGGAGGGCAGGGCAGGGGTGAGGGAGCAGGGCTGGGATGGGGAGCAGGGGAAGCACAGGGTGAAGATGGAGGGGCAGGGAAGGGCAGGATGGAAGGATGAAGGGGCAGGAGAAGGGGCTGGATGGAGGTCGGAGGGGCAGAGGAAGAGCAGGGGGGACGAGCATCCCGCTCAGGATGGAGATGGAGAGGCGAGGGAAGAGCAGGACACAGACGGAGAGGCAGAAGGGGCCGGATGGAGGGGCAGGATGGAGATGGAGGAGCGGGAGAAGGGGCGGGAGGGACGAGCATCCCGCTCAGGATGGAGATGGAGCGGCAGCAGGAGGGCACGGACAGATGGCGGGGCAGGGTCGCGGGTCCCCCCGCGCCGCTCCCCGCCCTCGCCGGCAGCATCCCCGGTCCCCGCGCCGGCCGCGCTCCCCCGGCCCCCGCCGCGCCGGTCGCATTGCGGTGCCCGCCGCCTCACCGTGTCCTGCCCGGGATCCGCCCTTGGGGCCCCGGACCCCCGGGCCCGGCCCCGAGCGGCTCCGGGACCCGGCGGCGGCGGGACGGGACACACGGACAGGGACGGGGACAGACGGACAGGGATGCACAAAGATGGGGGCACAGGTGCAGCGATGGGGAGATCCTTGGGATGGAGACACAGGGACAGGGACAGACAGACAGGAACGGGATGGGGACACACGGAGAAGAGACTCAAAGAGGGTCACACGAACAGCGACATGCGGGTATGGGGACAGGGACACACGGATGGGAACACACACAGAGAGAGATGGGGACACAGGGGGTGAGAGTGGACAGCCAGGCAGGGAGACAGGATGGGGACACAGGGACACACGGACAGGGACACTTGGGGATGAGGACACACGGACAGGGACCCCACACGGACACCTGCACAGGGGGAGACATGAATCCACATGAGGAGGGACAGCCCAGGGATTTGTGGATGGGGACAGAGCCCCACAGGTGGTGACAGGGGACACAGGGACAGGACAGACGGATACCAACACCCCAGCCAGGCAGGGCACAGGTGGCACAGGGTGCTGTGAGCCCCTGTGGCAGTTGGGGGTGGCCTGGGCAGCGATGCTGGGCTTTGGGGACACAGAGGCCATGGTGCCACCCCAGCACAGGACCGGGAGCTTGTGCACACACCGCCGGGCCTTTGTCACCAACTGATGTCACCTGCTCATGGCAGAGCCCCAAAACCCCAGAGGGCCCCTTGAGGGGACACACTGGGGGTCCTGGTGGGGCTGTGGGACACTCGAGCGCTGCCTGAGCCCCCCTCCAGTGCCTGAGTGGGACCAGAAGAGCCCCAGGGTGACCACTCCCAGCTCTGTGTCACACCACTGCCACCTGACACTGGAGGTGACAGGTGACTCCGGGGGTCTGCTCCTGCCTCCCCCCCGCCCCACTCCTGAGTGGCAGCAATTAAAATCCGCAGCCTCTATTAATAGCAGCCGGCGGGCACCGGGCCACGGTGGCACCCACGCGCTGGCACCGCGTCCCCACGGGAACGGGGAGGGCGGAGGGGGGGTCACGGCGACATCGGCCCGCCCTGCGAGGTGACAAGGCCCGGGGGGTGGTGGCAGCCTCAGCCCCCCCCCGCCGCGCTCGGAGCCCGCCGGATACTCCTCGTTAGAGGGAATGAATGAGCTTTCCTTGATCATTTTCCTGCGGCTCCTCCTCGTTCCATTGAGCCGCAGCTCCCCGCCGGGCCTGACGCAACGGGGCGGCCGCTCACGCAGGGCTGAATCACGGCGCTGCCGAGCGGGGGGTGCTGGGGGGGTCCTGTCCCCCGCCCCCGGGCTCAGCAGGGCTCTGGGGGGGTCCGCTGGAGGGGTTTGGTTGCCCGGGGCGGGGGGCTCAGCCCACGCCGGGGCCGGACACGTGCGGCCGCCGCGTGAGACGGACGGGAGCAGCCATGGGGGACATCAAAAAAAGCGAGTGACAGCGAGGGGAGAAGGGCAGGGAATTTATTGGGAGCAGCAGGGCCTCCTCCTCCACCCTGGAGCACGGGATGATCCTGTGGATGAACCCCCCCAGGGCAGCGGGATGAGGATGGGGGAGCTCAGCACCACCCCCCCCCCCGGCACTTCACAGCCCCCGCCCCCGATCCCAAACGGCAGCAGGAGGAGGGTGTGAAACGGAGGTGACAGCCCAACAGGGGACACTCAGCAGCGTGTCACCTCTCCCCCCTCATCCCCCTCAGGAGAGAGGTCACCCCCCGGGAGAGGTGAAACAGCCCCGAGGCTTCACCGCGCCGAGGCAAATCACGTTCTCCTCATCCTGCTGCTTTGTGTCATGCCAGGCCCAAAATAACCTCCCTCCGCCCCCCCCCTCCACTCCAGGTTTTCAAAGGAAGATTAATTGACTCGGGGATGTTGCAGCAATTAAACTAACGAGCCCCAGGATCTGTCAGATGATGCTCAGCTGCCTCCATATGCTGCAGCTGGGCCACCGCGGAGGCTCGGCGCCTCCTTCCCGCTGCCGGCACTGCGCCATCCTTATAATTCCATCAGCGTTTCCAGGGGCCCGGCGAAGCTGCTGCAGGTAATTAAAATGCAGCCCCTGCCTGAGCCAGGCTGTGTTTCACAGCTGGGGGGGAGCACATTCCCAGCTCCAGCCTCTGATCCCAGCTCCTCGCTCCCAAAGGCGAATCCAGCGGGATCAGCAGCACACGGAGCTTCCCAGGGGCTGGGAGCTGCTCGTGTCTCTCGGCATCGCCTCCACTCCCCGCCAAGGGAGGTAATTCCATTCCTTTTGAAACCTGGAAGAGCCTTGGAGCAGCCCCTGATGGGAACTGCTCAGCCCCTCTGACTGCAGAGCACTGAAAACAGAAGATTTTACCCTAAAATATCAGTGCTGGAAATTGTTACTGCCCGTTTCCTGCAAGCTCATGGATGCCAGGCTGTGGATTTCGTGAGGATCCAAGGCCAGGCTGCACAGGGCTTGGAGCACCCTGGGACAGTGGAAGGTGTCCTGCCCATGGCACTGGACAGGCTTTAAGGTCCTCCCCAACCCAAACCATCCTTGTATTCCTCCTCTGATTTTCAGAGGTTTTCCTTAGGGAATGTTCAGCCTCTGGGTACAATGCTGAGAAGGAAGCAGGGTAGAGGAGCCCGGCCTCATTTCTTCCATGAATCCCTGGAAAAGATGAGCTCCCCGAGCCCCAGGAGGGGCACTGGAAGCTGTGTGGAGACAGCAGGGCCTGGAAGGCCAGAGCACCACAGGGATGTTATTTTTGGCAGCTCTTACAACCAGGTTTTACTCCCAACTAAGCCAGCGAAAGCAGCTTAGTGCAGCCTGGCAATCCCTGCTCCCACCTGCTCTGCCTCCACTCCTGCTCATTCCTCACCTCCTCGGAGCCTCCGGAGCGTGGCCGAAGGGAAGGAGGGAGACACACACATTCGAGGAGCTCTTGGAAGCAGAATTTACCCAGATCCTTCACGTTTGTGTCCGCTAATCCCTGCAGCCCCTCGGGCAGGGACAATCCCTCGGGATATTCCTCACTCTGAGCACACGGGAGAGATTCTCCTCCTTCAGGTCATCACGGAAACTCCGCCCGGGTTGGGCTGTTCCAGCGGTGAAAGGGGCGGCTCCTCCCGGCGCAGTGGGAGGGGAGAGGCGAGGTTTCGCTCCCTCGGCTTCCCGAGTCTCCCGGCTCACCACGGGACGAGCACCAGCCCGGCCAGCGCGGCGTAGCCCAGCACCAAGCACAGCACCTTGAGCAGCCGGTGGCTCTTGTCCTCCAGCTCCTTGGCCAGGATCTCGAAGAAGGTGACGAAGAGGAAGGTGCCGCCGGCGATGCCCTGCAGCAGCAGGGAGGCGACGCTGCCCGCGGCATTCCGGCTGCTCTCGATGCCCATCCCCACGCCGATTCCCAGCGGGATCATCAGGCACACGGCCACCGCCAGCTTGGCCGCGTCCCTCAGCGGCAGCGAGGCCTTGGCCATGCTGATGCCCAAAGCCACGGCCACCAGCGTCTCGTGCACGGCCACTCCCAGGAACAAGCTGACCACTCTGCCGCCGTCCTCCTGCAGGCCCAGGGCCAGGCCCTCGAAGATGGAGTGGGTGCAGAGGGCGAAGACCAGCCCCAGCAGGCGGCGGGGGCCGCAGCGGGCCAGCTCGGGGAGGCGCAGGCCGTGCGAGGGCAGGCCGTGCTCCCCGTAGAGCGCGCGCCCGCGCGGGGACGCCACGAAGGGACTCTCGTACTCCGAGTCGCTGCCCGCGTCCGAGCCCGCGTTGAAGGTCTCCAGGTCGATGAAGGACGGCTTCTCCTTCTGGAAGGTCAGGAAGAGCTGCTCCACGAAGACCGACAGGAAGAAGCCGAGCATCATGATGGTCTCGGCCACCGGGTAGTCCGTGGTGACGTTGTTCTGCCTGAGCACCTCATCGAGCTGCAAGGGAGCAAAAGATGCACCCGTTATTGCTCTGGAGAGAACCACTCCCACATTCCCACAGTGAATCTGTGTCCCTTTATCCCTATGGAGGGAACCATTCCCACAGATCCACAGTGAATGCACCCCTTTATCCCTATGGAGGGAACCACTCCCACACTCCCACAGTGAATCTGTGTCCCTTTACTCCTATGGAGGGAACCATTCCCACATTCCCACAGTGAATCTGTGTCCCTTTATTCCTATGGAGGGAACCATTCCCACAGATCCACAGTGAATCCACCCCTTTATCCCTATGGAGGGAACCATTCCCACATTCCCACAGTGAATGCACCCCTTTATCCCTATGGAGAGAACCATTCCCACAGATAAACAGTGAACCCATCCCTTTATTCTCTGAATGGAACCATTCCCACAGATCCACAGTGAATCCACCCCTTTATTCCTCGGGAGAGAACCATTCCCACAGATCCACAGTGAATCCATCCCTTTATTCCCTGAATGGAACCATTCCCACAGACCCACAGTAAACCCACCCCTTTATCCCTATGGAGGGTACGATTCCCACAGATCCACATGGAATCCATCCCTTTATTCCCTGAATGGAACCATTCCCACAGACCCACAGTAAACCCACCCCTTTATCCCTATGGAGGGTACGATTCCCACAGATCCACATGGAATCCATCCCTTTATTCCCTGAATGGAACCATTCCCACAGACCCACAGTAAACCCACCCCTTTATCCCTATGGAGGGAACCATTCCCACAGATCCACCGTGAACCCACCCCTTTATCCCTATGGAGGGAACCATTCCCACATTCCCACAGTGAATCCACTCCTTTATTCCCCTGAAGGAAACCATTCCTACATTCCCACAGATCCACAGTGAATCCACCCCTTTACCCCCCCAATGGAACCATTCCCACAGGGACACTCCATCAACCCATGATGCTGCCACATCCCTGGACAGCAGCCTCGGCAGGGGACAGGGAACCTCTGCCTTGCTCTTTGATCCTCACACCCCGCAGCCTCCTCTGCATCCCAAACCCTCCCCTTTCTCCACGGACAGAGGCAGGAGGCGGGCACAGCTGCCCTCGGCGAGCCCCCGGGCACAGCAGAGCTGCTCCAGCGGGCACAATTCCCTCTCTCCAGTGCCCCCTGAGCCCCTGCAGGCTCAGACTAATTCCCCAGGACGCACCTTCCCTCTGACGGCGGGCAGGAGCGCGTTGAAGCACGTGGCCAGGAAGACGCCGCCCCCGAAGGAATTCCAGAGCGCCAGGAGGCGGCGGGAGCGCTGAGCCTTCTCGGGGTCGGCCTCCATCAGCCGGACGGGCAGCAGGGCCCCGGCCAGCACCAGCACACAGATCCCCAGCAGGCACAGCACCTTGGCCACCACGATCCTCATCCTGCCCGGGATCCAGCCCCTGCGGGGACACTCTGGATGGGATCAGAGCGGGGACATCGGCCTGGATGGTGCCTCGGGGGGAGAGGAAGAACACAGGGATTTTTCCTTTATGAGCCATAGGAAGCAGCAGGGGAAAGTTCAGACTGGATTCAAAAGGAATTTGAAAGCCCTGGTCACCTCAAACCACCCTTCCCTGGAGGTTTTCAAGGCCAGGCTGGACTCCAAGCCCTGTCCTTGGACACTTCCAGGGATGTGGCAGCCACTGGGAAATTCTTGACAGGCATCCCCACTCTCCCAGGGAGAATTCCTTCCCAACACCCCATCTATCCCTTCTCCAACATCCCATCCATCCCATTCCCAACATCCCATCCACCCCCTTCCCAAAAATCCCATCTATCCCCTTCCCCAACTCCCACCCATCTCCTCCCCTAACTCCCACCCATCCCTTCCCCAAAATCCCATCCATCCCCTCTCACACATTCCCTGAGTCCCTCTCCCATCCATCCCCTCTCACACATTCCCTGAGTGCTGCCACCCCAGTCCCTCTCTCAGGGACAGAGAGAGGAATTCAGAGCCCATCAGGTGACACTGACTCACTCCAGGTCTGGCCAAGCCCAAAACCTGGGCCCAGGCACCAGCCACACCTGTGCCAGGGCAGAGGGAAGGGGGCAGCCACTGGGAAATTCTTGACAGGCATCCCCACTCTCCCAGGGAGAATTCCTTCCCAACACCCCATCTATCCCTTCTCCAACATCCCATCCATCCCATTCCCAACATCCCATCCATCCCCTTCCCAAAATCCCATCTATCCCCCTTCCCAAAAATCCCATCCATCCCCTTCCCAAACTCCCATCCATCCCCTTCCTAAACTCCCATCCCAGCCTCTGGCAGTAGCAGCCATTCCCTGAGTGCTGCCACCCCAGTCCCTCTCTCAGGGACAGAGAGAGGAATTCAGAGCCCATCAGGTGACACTGACTCACTCCAGGTCTGGCCAAGCCCAAAACCTGGGCCCAGGCACCAGCCACACCTGTGCCAGGGCAGAGGGAAGGGATAAAATCCTCCTTCTCCAGAGCTCACACCTCTGGAACACACCTGGCTCCCTCCAGAAACCCTTTATCCTCACTTTTTTCCCTTTTTTTAACCCAAACCCTCCCCCTCCAAAGCCTCAAGCTCCCGAGTTCAGGTGGAGCAGCCACATCCAGCATCCCTGAATGGGGCTGGAGGAGCCCTGAGGGAAAAAAAGCCCCAGGAACACCTGGGGAACTCCTCACCTGCTCCTCCTGCACAGCTGGGCTGTGTCCCCAGCCCCAAAACTGCTGCACCAAGGGATCAGCTCAGCTCCTGCTCGGCTTAGTGGCTCAAAATGAAGCATCCAAGCGATGAAAAAATATTACATAAAGCAGGCAGGGTTCTGTGGGAGGAAAAACAAAGGGGTTCCTCATCCGTGAGCCTCTAAATCCCAGAGTTTCTGTTAAAATCCGGCCCTTCCAAGCCCTTTGAGACTGTCCCATCGCTTTTACAAAGGGGGTGATGGGGAAGGGGCTCCTCCCAGCCCACCCTGAGCCCACCAAAGGGGAGCAGAGATGAGGGGAGGGATTTCAGGGTCGATGTGAGGGCAGTGAGCAGCTCACAGGGGGAGAGTTCAGCTGGCAAGACCCTCAGAGGGGGTCGGGGTCTGCCCTGAGCCCTCCAAGGTGGGGAGGGGTCCCAGCTCCAGCCCCTCACAGCCAGATGGGGCCCTCAGGAAGGGGAAGGGGCCCGACCCCAGCCCCTCACGGCGAGGAGAGGACCCCAACAACCCCCACAGCTGCTTGGGGTCCCCCCTGACCCCTCACACCCAGAGCGGGCCCAGCCCCGGCCCCTCAGGACAAGGCGGGGGTCCAGCCCCTCACACACGGAGGGGGCCCAGCGCCGCTCTCCCGCCCCTTCCCCCGCAGCCCCGGCTCCCCCAGCCCCGCTGTGACCCCGGGGTCCCCGCCCCGGCCTCGCCATCCCCTCACGACCCCCTCGGCCCCGTTACCCCGGCAACCGCCCCCCCTCACGGCCGGCCCCGCTCGCTCCCGGCCCGGCCGCCCCGCACGCGCCCGCCCACGGAGGCCTCCCATTGGCTGAAGCAGAAAAGCCGGTTTGTGATTGGTCTCTAGAGCTGTCAATCAACGCGGAGACGGCGCGGCTCAGGGGAAGCGGCGATTGAGGTCCGCGGGAAACGGGTCCCGTAGCGCTGCGTTCCGGGCCCGGGATAACCGGGAAAAACGGGAAAGGAAAAAACGGGAATGGGGAAAAACGGGAACCGGGAGCGCCGGGAATGAGAAAACCATCCCTGGAACAGCGCCCGCCACGCCCACACCCCCTGCTCCTGCCGCTCTGTGATCAAACCGCACCAAGGGCAGCTGCGGGATGCTGCAGGGAGCGCTGAGGCCCACCTGGAAATTCCATCAAATTCCACAAAATTCCATAAATTTTTTTTCGCTGTCAGCTCCCAGAGGAGCCAGGAATTTTTGGCAAAGTCTAAAAAGAGGCTGGATGCTCAGCTTGGAGTTCAGGGGCAGCTCCAGACAAGGGAAGGAGGAATTCCCTGGAAAAGCTCACCTGGAAAATCCCAACCCAGAGAGGAAAAATACAGAAAAATATCAAAAAAATGGGTCAGGACAGAGGCAGGAGAGTGAGGAAAAGAAACAGCACAAAACAGCAGGAAAACAGCTCCATGGTTTCCATATTTTTTGGATAATTCCCGAATATTTTCCTTTCCAGCCTGAAATTCCTTTGGTGGGCCTACACAAAAGCAGCTGGAGAGAAATTAAAAGCAATTTAGGGAAGGAAAAATGGGGGGAAATGAAAAGTTTTCCTATTTTTGTGCTGTAGGAACGTGCAGGAGGAGAATTCCCGCTGGAAAGGAGAAAAAAATTGGGGAAAATGGGATTAAAATGGGAATAAAATGTGCCCCAAACAGACCCTGAGCTCACGGAAAGTTCTGGAAAATCAGCTCAGCACGCAGGGATAACAACCAAAGTGTCCAAATGGTTTTTATTCCTCACGAGTGACACGAACCACATGAATTCCACGGAGCCTCGACCAAAAAAAATCACTTTTTTCCATGATTTTTTCCGTCTCCCCAACATTCCAGAGGGGCTCCTCCTCCCCCAGGAGCCAAAAATCAGATTTAAATCCATTTTGGATTTTAAAAAAAACCCCTCTGGTTTCTCCCCAGCTGGGATTTGAGGCGGCTCCAGGAGCTTTTCCCTGCCCAAATCCTGGATTTTGGATCCAAAGGGGGATTTTGGATTCCCTCCACCCCAGCCCAGCCAGGCTGATCACTGACATGCAATTAAAAAAAATCAAAATAATTCAGAAAAAACTCCTTGAAACACACTAAAAACACCTTCACTCCCTCCCTGCTCACGTTCCATGGCAGAAATTCCCATTTTGCCAGAGTTGCTGCACGACCAAAATGGGATTTTTCCAGGATTTTTTTTTGGGATGGGAAAAACCCCAAAAATGCCTGGGGGAGGTTCAGAACTGACTCCCCCGTGGATCCTGGAGAGGAGAAGCAGCAAAATTCCCAAAAAATCCCAGACTTGGAGCAAAATCCTCATTCCCAGAGATGGAAAATCCTGGGAATTCCAGGATGGGGACGAGCAGGGACTCAAACACTTCTTGGAAGTGGCTCCCGAGGGGAAAATTGGGGGAAAAAAAATAAGAATTTGCTTGGAAATGCTCCAAAAAACAACAACAAAAAATTGGGAATAAAACCCCCCCACGAGCAGCAAATCCTGCGGGGATTTGGGAATTTCCCAGCAGAATTCTGAGTTCAGCTCTGCTGGGGCTGCCAGGAAAAAAACCCCAAAAAATAAACCTGGAAAAAGGGGAAAAAAGGGGAAAAAAAGGGGAAAAAAAAGGGGGAAAATGGGGAAAAAAAGGGGAAAAAAAGGGGGGAAAAGGGAGGAGCAGGGAGGGAATTGGGAATTCTCGGGGACATGCAGGGCACGGGAAGATTTGGGAATTTTTGTGGTTTTTATCCGTTGGAGTTTTGGGTTTTTTCCCCCTCTTGGACACTTCCAAGTCAAGAATTGGCAACACGGAGGTGGCTCCCAGCTGGAAAAGCAAATCCTGGAATTTCCAGGGGCTGCAGAGAGAGGGAAAACAGGGAATTCACTGGGGGAATGGAATTTCAGCAGTTCAATCTGATTATTTATTTTATTTTATTTATTTTGACTTTATTTTATTTTGATTTAAATTTATTTTAATTTTAAATTTTATTTTAATTTATTTTAAAATAATTATTTTATGTCAATCTATTTTATTTCATTTCAATTAGATTTTAATTAATTTTATTATTGTATAATTATTACTATTATAATTATAGTATGTATGTAATAACATCTAGAATTATACAATATATCATTATATAATTAGTATCATTATATTATTATTTAATTTTTTATCATTTTATTTAAAATTTTATTTCAATTTAATTTATTTTTGTATTAACTTCTTTTCATTATTTTAAATGCAAACAAATATAGTAACTTAAATTGCTTTCATTATTTTAATTTAAAATTATTTTATTCTTATTTCAATGATTTTAATCCCATTAATTTTAATTTAATTTTTTCATTCATTTCCATTTGCAAATTTTAATTTATTTTAAAATTTGATCGAACTTAATATTAATTTAATTTTAATTTGTTTAATTTAAAACATTTAAATTGAAAATTTAAAATAAAAATTTAAAACTTCATTGGACTTCAACTCCTGTATTAAATCAATCAATCAATAATCAATGGCACTGATCCCCACCTCACTCACGACTGGTTAGAACTGCAGTTATCAATTCCTGTAATCGATCAATAATTAATCAATAATCCATCACTAATCAATGGCACTGATCCCCACCTCACTCATGATTGGTTGGAATTGCAGTTATCAATTCCTTGCAATCAATCAATCAATCAATCAATCACTAATCAATCACTAATCACTGCTCACCTCACTCCTGACTGATTGGAATTGCAGTTATTAATTCCTGTAATCACTAATCAATCACTGATCAATCACTGATCACCTCACTCCTGACTGGAATTGCAGTCACCAATTCCTGCACTCAATCAATCACTGATCAATCACTAATCAATCACTGATCAATCACCGATCGATCACCGATCAATCACCGATCAATCACCGATCGATCACCGACGCTGCCCACCTCACTCCTGACTGACTGGAATTGCAGTTATCAATTCCTGCACTCAATCAATCACTGATCAATCCCTGATCAATCCCTGATCAATCACTGATCAATCCCTGATCAATCACTGATCAATCACTAATCAATCACCGATCAATCACCGATCGATCACTGACACTGCCCACCTCACTCCTGACTGATTGGAATTGCAGTTATCAATTCCTGTACTCAATCACTGATCAATCACTGATCAATCCCTGATCAATCAACTCCTGATCACCAATCAATCACTGATCGATCACTGATCGATCACCAATCAATCACCGATCGATCACTGATCAATCACCGATCAATCACTGATTGATCACTGACGCTGCCCACCTCACTCCTGACTGGAATTGTAGTTACCAATTCCTGCATTCAATCAATCCCTGATCAATCCCTGATCAATCACTAATCAATCACCGATCAATCACCGATCGATCACCGATCAATCACCGACGCTGCCCACCTCACTCCTGACTGATTGGAATTGCAGTTATCAATTCCTGTACTCAATCAATCCCTGATCAATCCCTGATCAATCACCGATCGATCACCGATCAATCACCGACGCTGCCCACCTCACTCCTGCTGCTCCTCGTTGCTGGCGCTCGGGGTCCGGCTGCGGATTTGGCTGCGCAGCTGCTCGATCAGCTCGGGGTTCTGCTGCTGCATCTGCTGGGCAAACTGCTGGCCCCTGGGGACACGGGGACACACGGGGACATCAGGGACAGCAGGGACACACAGGGGACACGGGGACACACAGGGGACACGGGGACACACAGGGGACAGCGGGGACACACAGGGGACAGCAGGGACACACAGGGGACACACAGGGGACAGCGGGGACACACAGGGGACAGCAGGGACACAGGGACAGCAGGGACACGGGGACAGCAGGGTAACACAGGGGACAGCGGGGACATCGGGACAGCAGGGACATCAGGGACACACAGGGACATGGGGACACACAGGGGACATCAGAGACACAGAGACAGCAGGGACACACAGGGGACATCAGGGACACACAGGGACAGCGGGGACACACGGGGATATCAGGGGCAGACAGGGACACAGGGACACACGGGGATATCAGGGGCAGCAGGGACTGGGTGACAGCAGTGACACGGGGACAGCAGGGGATACCAGGACACGGGCAACACGCTGGGACATTCCCAGCCCCGGACGCAGGATTGTCCCTCTGGATTGTCTCCAGCCCTGTCCCCAGCCTGTCCCCAATCCTGTCCCCCAGCTGTTTCCAGTCTTGTCCCCAGCTGTCCCCAATCCTGTCCCCCAGTTCTGACCCCAGTCCCGGCTCAGCCCTGTCCCCCAGCTGTCCCTCAGGTGTCCCCAGCCCTGTCCCCAATCCTGTCCCCCAGCTGTTTCCAGTCTTGTCCCCAGCTGTCCCCAGCCCTGTCCCCCAGTTCTGTCCCTAGTCCCGGCTCAGCCCTGTCCCCCAGCGGTCCCTCAGGTGTCCCCAGCCCTGTCCCCAATCCTGTCCCCCAGTTGTCCCCAGCCATCCCCAACCCCATCCCCCAGCCCTGTCCCGAGTCCGTCCCAAATCCTATCCCCCAGCTGTGTCCCCAGTGTCCCCAACCCTGTCCCCCCGCTGTCCCCAGGTGTCCCAGCTGTCCCCAGCCATCCCCAGGTGTCCCAGCTGTCCCCAGGTGTCCCAGCTGTCCCCAGCTGTCCCCAGCTGTCCCCGGTGTCCCAGCTGTCCCCAGGTGTCCCCAACTGTCCCTGGTGTCCCAGCTGTCCCCAGGTGTCCCAGCTGTCCCCAGGTGTCCCCAACTGTCCCTGGTGTCCCAGCTGTCCCCAGGTGTCCCCAGGTGTCCCCACTCACGCCTGGATCAGGCTGGCCAGGTCGTTGGTGGAGGGGCTGCTCCCGGCCGCTCCCATGGCGTTGTGGCCTCCCGAGATCATCCCGGACATTCTGGGAAGGGACAAAACGGGCTCAGAACTGGGAAAAAAAATCCCAAAAAAATCACCTGGGGACCGCTGGGAGCAACTTCCCATCCCAGGGATCTCGGAATTCCCTGCAGCAGCTTGGCTGGAAAGAAGTAATTAAGCTGAACAATGAATAAAATTATTTTAATGATGTTGGTATTCCCAGATTTATGGAATTACAGCCCTGCTCTGCATCCAGGACAGGATTCCCTGGATTCCCTCCAGAGCTGGATCCAGGTGGGAATTCCCACCAGGCACAGGGAGAAGCTAAAGGGAGCTGAGTGGTCTCATCCCAAAAATCCAAGGATTTGGGGGCTCCAGAGGGTCTCTCCCTCCTGCCACGCTCCACTGGGATGCTCAGGAATGGCCTGGGCCTTCTTGGGATTCAGGAATTTATCCATTTTCTTCAAATATTGGGAAGTGCTCCTCACAATGGGAATATTCCCATTTTAACCAAGCTGGGAAATCCTGAAATTCCATAAAACTGCAGCAGAGCCAATTCCAGGGCCACATTCCATCCCATCCCATCCCACCTCCCTTGGGAATAATTTTATTCCAATCCCTTTCCCAGCACCTCCCAGAGCACCCAAACCCCCCCAGCTCAGGGAACTGGGCTGGTTCCCAGCCCCCCCTCCACATTCCCGGCCCAAATTCCCTCCTGCTCCCACTGGGAAAGGCCCAACCCAGAATTCCAAGAGGGAATAAATAAAAGTGGGATCCAACTCACAGCTGTTGTACTTGGGGGTTGTTCATGAGGTTTGAGGCCTGTGGGGAATGAAAACACCCGAGTGAGGCAGCAGGGACGGGGTGGGATCAACCCCAAAGGGAAGGTGGGAATGCTTGGGAATCCTTGGGAATCCAGGAAAAGGGGGAAAATGGCAAAAAGAAGAGCAAAGGCCAAGCCCAGAGCAGAGCAGCTCCTGCCACAGCCAGGGAAAAGCCTGAGGAGAAATTCCCAGCTGTGTCTGAGCTGAAGGGAGCAGCAGCAGCTCCCAAACAGCCCCAGGGAGTGGGAAAAGCTTCCAGAGGGGCTCCATCCTGAGGAATCCCATGTGAGGAGACCCCAGGGAGGCTCCATCCTGAGGAATCCCATGTAAGGAGACCCCAGGGAGGCTCCATCCCGAGGAATCCCATGCGAGGGGACACCAGGGAGGCTCCATCCGGAGGAATCCCATGTGAGGCGACCCCAGGGAGGCTCTATCCCAGGGAATCCCTCCCAGAGGAGCCCCCAGGGAGGCTCCATCCCGAGGAATCCCATGTGAGGAGACACCAGAGCCCCCTGGGAGGCTCCATCCCAGGGAATCCCACCCAGAGGAGCCCCCAGGGAGGCTCCATCCCAGGGAATCCCAGACACCAGAGCCCCCTGGGAGGCTCCATCCCAGGGAATCCCACCCAGAGGAGCCCCCAGGGAGGCTCCATCCCAGGGAATCCCACCCAGAGGAGCCCCCAGGGAGGCTCCATCCCAGGGAATCCCAGGCTCTGGAATCACCATGCTCATGAAGCCGGGGTTGTTCAGCAATCCGGCCAGGTCGAACCCTCCGGGGCCGCCGGTCTGCAAGAGAGAAACCAGAGCTGCTCATGGCTCATTCCCCATTCCCACTCTTCATTCCCATTCCCCATCCCTCATTCCCCATTCCCATCCCTCATTCTCTCTTCCCATTTCCCATTCCCCATTCCTCATTCTCGTCATGGCTCATTCCCCATTCCCACTCCCAGCCCTCATTTCCCATTCCCAATCCCTCATTCCCTATTCCCAAACCCCATTCCCATTTCCCATTCCCCATTCCCATCCCTCATTCTCTCTTCCCATTTCCCATTCCCCATTCCTCATTCTCCATTCCCAATCCCTCATTCCCTATTCCCAAACCCCATTCCCATTTCCCATTCCCCATTTCCATCCCTCATTCCTCATTCTCAAACCCCACCCCTCATTCCTATCCCTCATTCCCCATTCCCATCCCTCATTCTCTCTTCCCATTTCCCATTCCCCATTCCTCATTCTCCATTCCCAATCCCTCATTCCCTATTCCCAAACCCCATTCCCATTTCCCATTCCCCATTCCCATCCCTCATTCTCCATTCCCAATCCCTCATTCCTCATTCCCAAACCCCATCCCTCATTCCTATCCCTCATTCCCCATTCCCAAACACCATTGCCATCTCTCATTCCCCATTCCCATCCCCAGTTCCTCATTTCCCATTCCCCACTCCTATCCCCAATTCCTCATTTCCCATCCCCATTCCCCATTCCCATCCCCCATTCCTCATTTCCATCCCCAATTCCTCATTCCCCATTTCCAAACACCACTGCCATCTCTCATTCCCCATTCCCTATTCCCAGTTCCCAAACCCCATTCCCTATCCCTCATCTGTCATTCCCCATATTCTCATCCCCCTTTCCCATCCCCCATTCCCATCCCTCATCCCCCATTCCCAATTCCTCATCCCTCATCCCCCATTCCCATCCCCAATTCCTCATCCCCATTCCCCATTCCCATCCCCAATCCCCCATTCCCATCCCCAATTCCTCATCCCTCATTTCCATCCCCAATTCCTCATTCCCATTCCCATCCCTCATTCCCAGAGCTGCCAGAGCCAGGGAATCCCAGCAGGAATGCCTTGGGATGAAGGGATCCATTCCCAGCCCCTCCCACTGCCCCAGCTGCTCCAGCTCCTTGGGCTCTTCCAAGGATGGAGCAGCCACAGCTTGCTCTGGGAATTCCATCCCATTCCCTCCCAGCCAGGAATTCCTTCCCAAAATCCCACCCAGATCTCCCTTTTCCCAGTTTAAACCCATTCCCTGTGTCCTGTCCCTCCATCCCTTGTCCCAAATCCCTCTCCAGTTCTCCTGGAGCTCCTCTTGTCCTCCTGGACACTCCCAGGGACTCAACTTCTCTGGGAATTCCATCCCAGCCCCTCACATCCAAGGATTCCTTCCCATTATCCCACCCAACCCTTCCCAACACTCCCCTTGTCCTGTCTCGCCAGGCTCTTGGAAAAATCCTTCCCCATTTTTTTGGAGGCTCCCTCCAGGCCCTGGGAGGATCCCAAATCCAACCTTTAAACCCTGACAGGGGGAAGAGGCTGTGTCCAAACCCTCTGGAAAACCCCAGAGATTCCTGCTCACCCCTCCCTCCCTCTCTCAGCCCTGGAAAAACCTTTGGAAAATTAAAATCCCTTTCAAAATGATCCATAAGGACATTCCAGCCCAGAACAGCTCCCTGGCTGCCAAAGGTTTCTTTTGGAAAAAAACACAAGTTTTCTTTGTGTAAAAAAACCCCAAAAAAACTAAAAAAGACAACCAAAACAAACAACTAAAACCATCTTTGGTGCTATGGGGAAAACAAAAAAAAAGCTGAATTTTGGAGAGATTTGATCACAAAAGTGGAAATTGCTGTTTCAAAACCCTGCTCCTTCTCCAGGAGCTCTTTTAACCCCCAAAAAACTCCCAAATTCCACAACTTACTGGACTGGGAGTCTCCTTCATTTTCTGTTCAGCTATTTTGAGGTTGGATTTGTACGTTTCGTTGTCCGGATCCAACTCCAGAGCTTTTTTGTAGTAAACAACAGCTTCTGTGTGTTTGTTTAAGCTGGACAGGGCCAAGCTGGGGAAAAAAAAGAAAATTCAAAGTCACTGAGGGGTTTTTTTTGTCACCTTTTTTAATCCAATTGTTGTCCCCATCAACTTCCTTAGAATTGAGAAATAAGAATTTCTCAGGAAATCAAAATTCCAGCAGAAAAGAAAGTAAAAATCCAAGTCACAGAGGAATTTTTTGGTCACTGTTTTATCCACCTGCTGTCCCACCAACTTCCTAAAAATTGAAAAATGTGAAATTTTTCTCCATCCTAAAAAGCCAAAACCACAGGAATTTTTTCGTGGTGGAACAAACTGCTGAAATCCTTGTTCTGGGGTGTGCAGGGATTGAAAATCCCAGCAGGAACCGTGGAAAGAAAATAAAAATCAAGGTCACAGAAGAATTTTTTGGTCCCTTGCTCTATCCAACCGCTGTCCCACCAACTTCCTAAAAATTGAAAAACGTGAAATTTTCTCTGTCTTAAAAAGCCGAAACAGCAGGAATTTTTTTGTGGTGGAACAAACTGCTGAAATGCTTGTTCTGGGGCGTGCAGGGGTGCAGAATTCCCGAGGAAAGGCAGGAATTCCCCAGGAAGCTGCTGCTCACCCCATCCTGCCGTAGGCTTTGCTGTAGTTGGGGTCGATGCCGATGGCTCGCTCGCAGTCCCGCACGGCCCCCGCGTAATTCCCCAGTTTGCTGTAGGCAGCAGCTCTGGAAAAAATTGGGAAAAACAGGAGGAAGGGAATGCTGAGCAGCTGGAATAACCCCCAGGAAGTCAGCCCTGGTGTGAGCTGAGTGCTAACCCCAGCTCCAAAGTGAAATTGGGGTCTCCTCGAGGCAGGTCTCACGAGCTCTTGGAGATTTATTTTACACCTAAGATGGCTCAGCTGCCTTAGAAGGTATAAAATCAGCAGGATGGCTTCTGTGGCAGTGTTAGAAACGAAAAGATTTTAATAAAAGGCAAAATAACAAAACTCTTTACAAAGAAAAAGCAAGCCAAGTGCAAGAAGTCTTTGCCCCTGGTAAAACACCCCACAAAAGCCATTCGTTTCTTTGTTCTCTTCTTTTTCTAGGAAATTTTAGCTTCTGTCCAATTGGTTATCCTTAAGTTCAAAGTGAAGTCCCTCAAGTCCTATGAGATGCCTTTTCACCTAATTGAAAAGAAAAACTTCTAAGCTTATTTCCTTTTTGAAAGAACAAAGGATAATTTTGTCACTCTGTCAATAAGAGATGTTCCCATACCAAACACATCCAGGTTCTTGCTCCTCCTGGTGACATTCCAGGATGGCTTTCCAGCTGAGAAAATTCCCTTCATTCCCCTCATCCCTCAATTTCTCAACGTTTCCCCACATTCCAAAGAGGAAAGATTTGGTTTTTAGGGCTGGTTTTTTATGCTTGACCTCACAATTCTGAGAGACACCAGCCCCAAACCCTCCCACAGAGCCAAAAGCACCAATTCCCACCCAAATCCCCTTCCCCAGCTCCCCAGATCACCACCGTGCCCAGGTGGGTCTGAGCTGCCAGCACAACCAGGGAATTCCATGAAATTAAAGTTCAAAGTCTGTTTTATCCAAGAATTGCCTGAGAAACACAAAACCCTCCCTTTCTCACAGCTGATTTTGCACACACACCTCCCTTAATTCTCCACGAGGAGCCTCCAGCTCCTCATTCCACCCTGAATTCCCAGCACATCCCACTCTGCATGGAAGCAGACCCCACTCCCTGGCATCCCTCATCCCTCCAGTGCTTTAGAAAGTTCATTTCCACACCCACATCCCACCCAGAGACCCCAGGAGGCACCAAAAGCACGGCACGATCCCACAACGAGTGAGGAACCGCTCCAAAACTCCACAGGATGGTTCCAAAAAATGGGATTTTTGGGCATTCTGGAGCCTGGGGTCCCAGCAGGGGGGAGTGCTCAGTACCTGTTGCAGAAATAAACAGCGTTGGCTGGGTTTAACTCGATGGCTTTTCCATAAAATGACACGGCAGCCTCGAAGTTTTCTGCCTTCATTTGGTCGTTTCCTGAAAGGAGGGAGGGAAATGATGGTGAGGGAAGGGGAAAAAAACTGGGATAAAGCAAAGGAAAGGCCTGGATCCATGGGAATAGCACAGGGGAGAGGTTTGTCAGAGTGGGGAAGGGCCAGCAGCGAGGCTGTGCTGGAAATTCCACCATTCCTGACCCTGCATCCCAAAAACCACCCCAGGTGCTGGCTCAGGGGGGAAGTGCTGCATCCACACTCATCCCACTTTTTCCCAGGAAAAAGCCATGCACAGAGCAGGAAGGATGGATGCTCTGCTCCACGCCCCACAGGATTTTTGGGATAAAAATCTCACTGATCCAACGTTCCTGCCAGCAAAACCTCCCCACACCCCTGCAGCCCAAGCACAGCAAGAGGCAGAAATAGAAAACATTCCCTTTTTTTTCTTCCAATTCCAGGTGCCAGGGAATTGAGATCCCCTCCCAATTAGCAGCAAACCCTCGTTATCCAGCAGCTCCAGGGGTTGGTACCTTCAGTCTTGAGTCTTTCAGCTTCAGCCACGTCATCTTCTGAGGGGGTGACGGGCTCCGAGTTCGTCCTGGAGTGTTCCAGCTCCTTCCAAGGAGAGGCAGAAGCTGAGCTGAGCATTCCCACAATTCCCATTTTTCCAGCCCAAAACGTTCCCCTCCCACACTCTGAGGCTCTGAGGGGAGCAGCAGCCTCCTGGTAAATCCAGCAGAACTCAGGGAAAAGGGAACATCCCAGGGCACTCACTCACCTTCCCTGCCACGGCTTCAAATATTTCGGGAAGGGTCTGGGACACAGCCAGGCTTTGGTCTTCCATGGAGACCCCAAACGCTGTTTCCAGGCACTGGATAGCCACTGGATAAGGAGAGTCAGGTCATTAATTAATCAATATTCATCCCTCTCCCTCATCTCTAAAAAAAAACAGGAAAAAATCCCAACATTTTCCCCACACCGGATGGGATTTTTGGGCTGTATCTTCAGATTTTGCCAAAATTCAGAGCTTCCCTCTGGATATCCTGGATGGAGCCAGTCCCAGTTCCCATCCCCTGAGGGATTCCTGGGGCTGGAATTGAATCAGGCTGGGGCTGCAGCAGCATTCCCACAGCTGGGAATGTGGGAACGGCCCAGAATTCCAAGGACAGACCCAAACATTCCCCTCTCTCTGGGAACCCTGAGCCACCTCCTCCCTCCTCAGGCTTGGGAAGCTGCTCCCAGGGAAAGCAGAGCCTCCCAGAGCACTCCTGCCACATTTAACATCCCAAAATATCCCATTCCCAGCAGCCATCCCCCAGCAATGTCCCCCCACCCCACAGCCACGCTCCTTTCACCGTGACAAACCCACAAACCAAGGACTAAACCTTAATCTCCTTAAAGAGACCTTTAAAGATCCCTGCCCGTTGGAAATGCCTGGAAAAACCCTGAGGGACGACATTTTGGGGAGGAGAAGAGGAGAAACAACCCCAGGAGCACAAAAAGCTTCCCTGGAGCCAGAGAATTCCCACCTCCCAGCCCAGAGAGCGCTCCCAGCTCTGCCTCAGCCTGGATGAGCCCTCTGAGTCTCCAAGCAGGGATCAGGGAGGCTTCTGACCCCAGGTACATCCCTGCCTCCAGCTAAGCTGCTCTTGCAAGAGATCAGAAGCCACACAAGCCACCAGCACCCCTGGATAAATCCCAAAAGGAAAAAGCCACACCAAAATTCCAGCGAGGTTCGGCACCGGGAGCAGCCCAGCCAAGCCAGGGGTAGAAAACAGGGGGAAAAAAAAAAAAAACGGTGAAATTCTCCCAAATTTTGGCCTGACAGAGGGAGATCCACCCACCTTCCAAACTCTCCTGAGCATCTGGAGACATGCTGCCGTTCTGGAGCTGGGTGTGCAGGAACTGGATGATGGAGAAGGCCAGACGCTTCTGGTCTGCCATGCTGGGAGAGAGGCTGGAGGGGCCGGGCTGCGCCGCTCCTGGCTGCCCAAAAAATCCTGCACGGACACAAACTGTGCATTGCAAGAGAAGAGGGCAAAGGGGTTTGCTGCTGCTGCCCCTCAGGGAGGTGTTCAGGAGGCCAGGATGGAGTTGGAGTTGGTCAGGGCTGGGTAAGGACTAAAGAACGTTCTTTGTTTTCTTTAGGAATTCTCCAGGCCTGGATTCGCTCTCTGCTTGGCACAGCCATGCCAAGGGAAGCACCCAGAGGTGCTGCAGGGGGGAATCCTGCAACCTGAGGAGCTCAGCAGGAAAAATTCCCAAATTTCTGCTCCCTGGGCACGGCTTGCTCCTGAAACCAGAGCCAAGAGCAGGAGGAACTGGGCAGCCCCTGGCAGCCAGGCTGTCCTGGCAGGGAAGGAGAAGGGAATTTGGCAGCCAGGGCTGTGCCACGCTGTCCTGGCAGGGCAAAGGGAGGGGAATTTGGCAGCCAGGGCTGTGCCACGCTGTCCTGGCAGGGCAAAGGGAGGGGAATTTGGCAGCCAGGGCTGTGCCACGCTGTCCTGGCAGGGCAAAGGGAGGGGAATTTGGCAGCCAGGGCTGTGCCACGCTGTCCTGGCAGGGCAAAGGGAGGGGAATTTGGCAGCCAGGGCTGTGCCACGCTGTCCTGGCAGGGCAAAGGGAGGGGAATTTGGCAGCCAGGGCTGTGCCACGCTGTCCTGGCAGGGCAAAGGGAGGGGAATTTGGCAGCCAGGGCTGTGCCACGCTGTCCTGGCAGGGCAAAGGGAGGGGAATTTGGCAGCCAGGGCTGTGCCACGCTGTCCTGGCAGGGCAAAGGGAGGGGAATTTGGCAGCCAGGGCTGTGCCACGCTGTCCTGGCAGGGCAAAGGGAGGGGAATTTGGCAGCCAGGGCTGTGCCACGCTGTCCTGGCAGGGCAAAGGGAGGGGAATTTGGCAGCCAGGGCTGTGCCACGCTGTCCTGGCAGGGCAAAGGGAGGGGAATTTGGCAGCCAGGGCTGTGCCACGCTGTCCTGGCAGGGCAAAGGGAGGGGAATTTGGCAGCCAGGGCTGTGCCACGCTGTCCTGGCAGGGCAAAGGGAGGGGAATTTGGCAGCCAGGGCTGTGCCACGCTGTCCTGGCAGGGCAAAGGGAGGGGAATTTGGCAGCCAGGGCTGTGCCACGCTGTCCTGGCAGGGCAAAGGGAGGGGAATTTGGCAGCCAGGGCTGTGCCACGCTGTCCTGGCAGGGCAAAGGGAGGGGAATTTGGCAGCCAGGGCTGTGCCACGCTGTCCTGGCAGGGAAGGAAGGGCAATCCCAAAGCACGGAGACCCCGCAGCCCGAGGCTGGCAACTCCAGCGATCCCAGGGCAGCTCCCGGGGGAACGCGGCTCCGGCTCCGCGGGCTTTAACCGGGTTTGTAGCACACCGAGGCTCCTCGAACCGAGACACGAGCTCCGTTTAACGCGAGTGCACCGGAGCGGCACCGGGCCCGCCCGGCTCCCGTTCCCCGGGAGCGCCCGGACCCCGCCGGGCAGAGAGGAGAAGGCACGGCTCCCCGGTGCCCCCGCCGCGCTTCCCAAGCCCCGCGAGCACCGCCCGGACCCTGCCCCGGTGGAGGCAACCGGGGACCCCCGGCCGGGGATCCACCGGGTCCCGGTGCGCTCACCGGGAACGGAGGGGGTGACTCCCGGGCCTGGCACCGGCAGGAGCGCAGACACAGAAGTCCCAACGCGGGGCACAGCCCGCTCCCGGTACGTCCCGTCCCGTCCGGTCCCGCCCCCCAGGCCCCGGTGCACCCGGTACCCTCCGGTGCCGCTGTCCCCAGGCGGAGCAGAACCGCGGCTGACCGGCGGGCAGCACGGCCCGGCACCAGCGGGTCCCGAGGCGGAAGGGTCCCGGCGGGGCCGTGGTCCCGGTGTCCCCCGTCCCGGTCCCGGTGCCCCCGGTCCCCCCGCGCTCACCGGACACTCGCCTGGGCCGGGCGCGCTCCCGCACTGCGCATGCGCCGCGCCCGCCGCGCGCCGGCGCCGCTGCGGCCCCGCCCCTCCCAGCAGCTCAAGAATGGGCGTGGCCTACGACGGAAGCTCCGCCCCCACCCGTACCATAGAGATGTGGCGTTGTCACGGCAACGCGCGGGGGCGTTGCCATGGGAACGGGCGGGCGGGTCCCGGGGATGCTCCGCGCCCGCCCCGGGGCCGCTCCCGGCCGGCTCTGAGGGTCGCGGCCGGGATGAGCCGCCCCCGCTGCCTGGCCCCGCTGCGGGAGCGGCCCGGTCCTCCAGGCTCCCAGCATGCCCCGCTCTCCCGCCCGCCTCTCCGGTCGGGGCACATGCTCGGTGCGTGGGGCCGGCCCGGTTTCCTCCCGGCCTCGTCAGCAGCGCGGGGCCTCCCGGTACCCCCGGCACCGCCGACATGGCCCCCCCGACAGGTACCGGCGGGATGGGGCACACGGGGAGCGCGGGGACACCGGGGAGAGGGCGGGGGCGGAGCGGCGGAGGGGAGAGGGATGGGGGGCGGCAGGACGGGGCCGGGGGCGGCAGGACGGGGCCGGGGTCACCCCCTCAGGCCTGGCGGGGTCACCTCTGTGCCCCGCGGGGCAGCGCACGGCCGTGTCCCCGAGCAGGGCGCAGCCTTGGCAGCTGGCGGGGCACGGGGTCGGGTTTCGGTGAAGCGTTTATCGGCGCCGGGAGAGCGAGGCGCTCCCGGGGGGCGATCCCAGCGCCCTGGAATGCTGTCCCCGCCGCTGTCCCTTAGGGAATGTCGTGGACAGCCAGGCCCCGCGGCCCCTGGGCTGCCAGCTGCGCTGGGACCTGACGGCCGAGCAGATCGAGGCCATGGCCGCCGAGCTCACCGAGAGCACCAAGCTCGTGTACGACCGCGTGGGAGCCCAGGAGCGCGGGGAGGTCTCCTACGAGAACACGCTGAAGGCCTTGGCGGACGTGGAGGTGGAATACACAGGTGGGGAAGGGCCAGGGGTGGGATACAGGAACACAGAGGTGGGGAAGGGCCAGGGGTGGGATACAGGAATACACAGGTGGGGAAGGGCCAGGGGTGGGATACAGGAATACAGGGGTGGGGAAGGGCATAGAGGTGGGATACCCAGGTGGGGACAGATGTGGAGGTGGGATACAGAGATGGGGAAGGGCCAGGGGTGGGATACAGGAATACAGAGGTGGGGAAGGGCCAGGAGGTGGGATACAGGAATACAGAGGAGGGGAAGGGCATAGAGGTAGATTACACAGGTGGGGGCAGATGTGGAGGTGGGATACAGAGGTGGGGAAGGGCATAGAGGTGGCATACCCAGGTGGGGACAGATGTGGAGGTGGAATACACAGCTGGGGACAGATGTGAAGGTGGGATACAGAGGTGGGGAAGGGCCAGGGGGTGGGATACAGGAATACAGAGGTGGGGAAGGGCATAGAGGTAGATTACACAGGTGGGGGCAGATGTGGAGGTGGGATACACGGGTGGGGATGGGCGTGGAGGTGGAACACAGGAATACAGAGGTGGGGATGTGGAGGTGTAATACACAGCTGGAGATGGAATACAGAGGTTGGGAAGGGTCAGGGGGTGGGATACACAGCTGGGGGCAGATGTAGAGGTGGGATATACAGGTGGGGAAGGGCCAGACGGTGGGATACAGGAATACAGAGGTGGGGAAGGGCATAGAGGTGGGATACCCAGGTGGGGACAGATGTGGAGGGGGGATACAGAGATGGGGAAGGGTTAGGGGGTGGGATACAGGAGTACAGAGGTGGGGAAGGGCATAGAAGTGGAGTACACAGGTGGGGACAGATGTGGAGGTGGAATACACAGCTGGAGACAGATGTGGAGGTGGAATACAGAGATGGGGAAGGGCCAGGGGTGGGATACAGGAATACAGAGGTGGAGAAGGGCCAGGGGGTGGGATACATGGGTGGGGATGGGTGTGGAGGTGGAACACAGGAATACAGAGGTGGGGACAGATGTGGAGGTGGAATACAAGGGTGGGAATGGGTGTGGAGGTGGAATACACAGGTGGGGATGGGTGTGGAATACACAGCTGGAGACAGATGTGGAGGTGGAATACATAGGTGGGGATATATGTGGTGATGGAATACACAGCTGGGGACAGATGTGGAGGTGGAACACACAGCTGGGGACGGGCCAGGGGGTGTGACACACAGGCCAGGGGGAGCTGTTCCTGCTGGCAGGGATGGGGTACTGGGGAGCAATCCCTCCCAGGAAGGTGGGGTGAGGCATTCACGTTCTCTGAACACACAGAGAGATGTAATTCTCTCTCTCAGGTTTTTGCTGGAGGAGCACAGGGATCAAAACAATTTTTGTCTCATTTGCTGCTGCCATGTTTTGGAACATGTGGAATGTGTTGAAAGGTTATTTACCTGAAAGGATTTGCTTGATTAGATTCTAGTGTGAGCGTTTTGTTTTCTTAACCAATCTCTACAAGCTGTGTCCTGATGGTGGTCAGGAGACAGGAGATTTTTTTGAGTGCTTCTACAGTTTCAGTTTAGAGCAGTATAAAAAAATATATAAATATAAATATACATATATATATTAAAAGTATATATGTATATATGAACCAGTCTCTACAAGCTGTGTCCTGGCAGTGGTCAGGAGACAGTCAGGAGATTTTTTTGAGTGCTTCTACAGTTTCAGTTTAGAGCAGTATAAAAAAATATATAAATATAAATATACATATATATATTAAAAGTATATATGTATATATATAGTATAAAATAACATAGTATCACAAATTAATTAATTAGCTTTCTGATATCAATTTAGAGCAGTATAAAAAAACTATATAAATATAAATATACATATATATATTAAAAGTATATATGTATATATATAGTATAAAATAACATAGTATCACAAATTAATTAATTAGCTTTCTGATATCATACAGTCAGAAGCATCATTCTTCCCTTCAACGAGAGGTCACCTAATTTTACAATTTAGTAAATGTAGTGGGAGGCTCTGAGCTTGCCCAGAGCAGCTGCCCCATCCCTGGAAGGGTCCAAGGCCAGCTTGGAGCCACCTGGGCCAGTGGGAGATGTCCCTGCCCATAGCAGGGCTGAGCTTTGAGGTCTCTTCCAACCCATTCCACCATTATTAAGACTTTTAGATTATTTTTTTTTTTAGCTCTGTGCTGTCACCTGCTTTTCTCTCCCCGTGGCTGCCAGCAGAATGTTGGTTTTATTCCCAGTTAATGTTTATACAGCGAGGAACCAGCACAAAGAACAGATTTGGAAAAGCAAATTAACCCAAGGGCAGCCCTGTGGCAGCAGGAGCAGCCGTGTTCCCAAGGCTGTCCTGGCTTTCATGTGTCACCAGTGGGAACAAACATAGAAAAGATCCAAGAAACTCTCACCTCCTTCCTCAGTTTTCCCTGGGGCAGTAGGCAAATGTCTCTCCATGTGCCTTGTTTCCTGCTGGGATTTTTTTGGGAGAGTCAATCCGCTGTGATTTTTTTTTTTTGGAGAGTCAGTCCTGCTGGGATTTTTTTTGGAGAATAAATCCTGCTGGGATTTTTTGGAAGAGTAAATCCTGCTGGGATTTTTGGGAGAGTCAATCCCGCTGGGATTTTTTGGGAGAATAAATCCTGCTGGGATTTTTTGGGAGAGTAAATCCTGCTGGGATTTTTTGGGAGAGTCAATCCCGCTGGGATTTTTTGGGAGAATAAATCCTGCTGGGATTTTTTGGGAGAGTAAATCCTGCTGTGAGTTTTTTGGGGGAGTAAATCCTGCTGTGATTTTTTGGAAGAGTCAGTCCTGCTGTGATTTTTTTTTTGAGAATAAATCCCCTTGGGATTTTTTTGGGGGGAATAAATCCCGCTGGGATTTTTTTGGGGTGAGTAGCACGACGTGATGGCACCAAACCTGTGCAGTTCTGGTGGCTTTCTGGATGATTATTTGCAGCAGGGTGACAATTCAGGTGGCCCCTCCTCGTGGCACCTGGGCTGCTCCCTGTGCTCGAGCTGTCCCACCTGTCTGGGGCAGGGAGCAGCCTCATCTTCCTCCTCTCCCTCTTCTTTTTTTCCTAAAATAATAGGGAAAAAAAATAATTCCTCCTGCTCAGCAGGAGGAATGTTCACCTCAGCAGGACTGTCAGCACTTCCCTGGCTGAGCTGCCTGTTCAGCTCCTCCTGGGGGGGAATCCAGGTGCCTGGAGAGCACCTGGAGTGCTGTTCCTGGAGCTCCTGCAGGGATAGCAGCAGGGAATGTTCTCCCTGTTTTCCTCCGTGGAATTGCTTCAGGACAGGGTGCACCTGGAGAGAGGTGGCTTTTGGGGAAGTGTCTGTAGGAAGGGATTGTCCCACTTTGAGCTTTAAAGGAGGCAGGGAACGCTGCTGCCATCAGGAATCATGGAATTGCTCCAGCTGGAAGGGAGCGTCGAGCCCTGCACAGGACTCCCCAAACCTCCTGTGCTGCCCCAGCTGGGGCAGAGCTGTTGGGAGCTCACAGGCACAGAATTCCCATGGATTTTAGGAGGGCTGTGGTGGGAATCCAGCGGGTGGATGTGCTGGGCAGCAGGGAAAGGACCAAAGAGAGGGGGAGCCGCATCCCACCCCTCCCCTGCTGTGGGAAAGGCTCTGGGGCTGCCAGCCTGGCTCTGGGCGTGCACGGGGACGTGGAGCCATCATCCCTGTCCCTTTTTCTCCTCCCAGTCCGTAGGAACATGCTGGACTTCCCCCAGCACGTGTCCCCCTGCAAGGCCATCCGCGCCGCCAGCACCGAGGCCGACAAGAAGCTCTCGGAGTTCGACGTGGAGATGAGCATGAGGCAGGACGTGTACCAGAGGATTGTGTGGCTCCAGGTGTGTCCCCTGCCACCCAGGCAGGGGTTGGAACCCCCTGGAATTCCAGCAAATCCTTTTTCTTCATCCCAGAGTTAAAAAGGGAGGGATGCAGGAGTGGGGCGGGAGCGCGGTG